TTGTTGAAAAAGAAAGCAATTTTATTAAAAATGATTGCCATTATTATTAAAAAAAAATAGAAAAGGATGATTCGCATACACGCCGGTTTGTTTGGGTAAGATAATTTTGGCAGCGCGGTGCAAACAACCCATACTACACAACGATCACAATTGTCAGTGAAGCAAAACAAACGGGGATCATAAATTGAAGCAGATCTCTATCAGGATCATATCTTTGTTGTTGCATTTGCGTGCAAATTTTTTTTCCGGATTTCGATCATTACCCCATGGTGAAATTATAAATAGGTGAAGTCTTTATTAGATTTATTTATCAATCCTTTGTGGATACTCTATAATTTAAGCTAGCGCCAACCAACATTGTTCCCGTACTCAGTCAAAACAACATAAACCAAAAAACAAGCAAAAATTAAAACCACAAAATATAGGTTATAATTAAAATATTTTCCATGTAAACAATAATTTAACAATTTAGTATATTAAGTAAAATAATACATCTCAAGCATTTTTGATATTTAATTCAACAATATTTTCTATCATTTTACACAAAGTCACGATCATTGCCACACGGCAACACTCGATTAGTTTGACAGCACTTGCGAAGAAATAAAAATTGCTAGTGCAGCACGAGCAAGTTGAAATATATTTCCGAAATCGATTTTCGCTTCAGTTGCAGTCACACCTTGCAACTTTTATTTCTGAAACTGATTTTCTAAAAGTGACAGAAAGATCTTAACATGTCGGAATTATACCAGGTGAGGTAAATACAGCGAGAAGAAAAATTCTGACACTGCCTTATTTGAAAAATTGCTTCTAAAATTTTACTATAATGCCGAATTTCCACTACGCATTGAAATGACAAAAAATGTATGCCATTTAAAAAATGCCATATGGAAATGAACTTATTGACTATTTTTTTAATGTAATGACACGATTATTTTTTAATGCCCGACTTTGTCATTTGTCATTTTTGCCATTTAATGCCTAGTGGAAATCCAGCATTAGACAGCCGAATGTCAAAAAATAAAGCGAGAAAGCTGTTATTACTTCACCTGTTTATTGCAACATGGATCTTTCATGCTGTTCACACATCGAAATAAAATTTCTTTTTCTCAAATATTGCCACGTCTGACAGGCTCTTAAGTGTCACTAGCTAAAAAATATCGTATTTTGAGTTGTGACTTTCTTTAGTCAATTAGCTATAAGCATGCACATAATATGACATGACATGGTTGACAAAACCAGACAGTTTTATAAACCAATAATTTGTTAAACATTTATATAACCTTTTCTCATACGAAAAAAAATTAGCTTGATTTTGTGTTAGCATGTCTGAGGACAATTTTTTAATCCCTAATTATCGGTCATATAAAATTTCTTAAATACCTACATATGGATGTATGTACCTACATACATATATGTATATGTATTTTTGTGTGTATTTAGGCCAAAACTGCACAATATTTATGGATTAATAATGATAAAGGACATTCAATCGCGTCACGCCGCATCTAGTGACGGTAACCAAAAAATACAAAATAATTTATGTTTAACTAAAAATTTTCAAACAATTGGAACGATATAATTAATGACAATGCGAATGTATGTATATGGATATAGCTGTTTTATACTATACATATGTACGTATTTGCCGTTATGTGTCGGATGACTTGTGGTTATGAGTCCCTTTTAATCTGTCTGGATCAATTATGATGTTCAAGAGGGCCACTAGCATCCTGATAGCGTTTAATGTGTATTTAAGCCCATTTCTCTTTCGGAATATGATACATATGTATGTATCAAGAATGATAGAATACAAGATTGCGCCAATCGAGCTGAGAGCAACTGGCCGTGACGTCAAAAAATACCAAAATGAGAGAGCAAGACGAACTCGACAAGAAAAAGAGGAAGCATCGACCAAAAGACAGTGTTGCGAAGTTTTGACTTTGAAAAAGCACCAAATTTTTATTGGTGTATTTTATGGACTTTATATGAATACATAATTTTATTGTAAGGATGCCGATTCAAAAATCAATGTTTCTTGCACAACGGTCGATTTCTTCTGGCATGATTGAAGGTGCTGCCACATATTTCTTTCGTCACTTATGATTGTCACTGTGCCATGATTTTGTTTAAATTTTTCTAAAATTGCTTACCACACTTACGATTGTTATAAATTTTGCTTCAATTTTTTTAAGATTTTCCAATTTGGTNAACGGTCGATTTCTTCTGGCATGATTGAAGGTGCTGCCACATATTTCTTTCGTCACTTATGATTGTCACTGTGCCATGATTTTGTTTAAATTTTTCTAAAATTGCTTACCACACTTACGATTGTTATAAATTTTGCTTCAATTTTTTTAAGATTTTCCAATTTGGTGTCCTCAAACTAAAAACAAAAGCACCAAAAACGCACCAAGCACAAAACTCAAAAATTTTCGCGTTTTGTAATGTAAACAAAAGTATTTTATGACGTCAGCGATTGGGTGGATGCTGTCAAATCGACGAAGAGATGGCGCGACCTTCATTTTCTGGATCGTGGACACTTACGATCCAATACGTTCCAATTTTCGCTCTCTATTACCCATTTTGTTGAGTACGGGAATGATTTCTGGGCTATTTTTGGCTCCCGCGGGATCCCGCGTTGCATACGGGAAATAACCTATTATCAACCCTGATCAGATTTTACCCCCCCCGACGAGTACTCAAAAAGGTTTATTACTGTATATACTGTGCTTTCACTTCGATAAATACATACATATATCTAAAAAAAAAAAATAGTAGACGGAATGAGTGGAACGGAAGTTTTCAAGTAGTTTTCAGCGAAAACTGGTTTTCGTTTGACAGATTTTACATGGACGAAAACACAAGTTTAGTTCGAAAACCAGTTTTAACGACGAAAACATGGGCTTGTTCGAGCTGCAATCACAACCGCAGTGTTGCGCGAATTATTAAAGTATCACGTTCTTGGTGGATTTCTAGCAACGTATTATTAGTTGGGCAGTTGCAACAGTGTTGCAAGTTTTCATCAGTACGGCAGTAATGCCGCATTTATTAGGTGCCTCGAACAGGCCCCTTGTTTTCAATGGCGGTCCGAACATGGTATAAAGATGAATATGAAATATGAAAGGAGCATACGAATTGTGAATTTTGGATATTATCGAGAAATATGTGTGACCATGAATGCAATTAGACCGCAATATATTGGATTTTGATATGGCATCGTTTTATCTATAAATCTCATGATAACAAAATGGTAATTTAGACTATATTTATAATTTACAATATCTAGTTAAGCCATATTTCCGTAAATATGTCACTTTTTTGTACACTNGTTCGAAAACCAGTTTTAACGACGAAAACATGGGCTTGTTCGAGCTGCAATCACAACCGCAGTGTTGCGCGAATTATTAAAGTATCACGTTCTTGGTGGATTTCTAGCAACGTATTATTAGTTGGGCAGTTGCAACAGTGTTGCAAGTTTTCATCAGTACGGCAGTAATGCCGCATTTATTAGGTGCCTCGAACAGGCCCCTTGTTTTCAATGGCGGTCCGAACATGGTATAAAGATGAATATGAAATATGAAAGGAGCATACGAATTGGGAATTTTGGATATTATCGAGAAATATGTGTGACCATGAATGCAATTAGACCGCAATATATTGGATTTTGATATGGCATCGTTTTATCTATCAATCTCATGATAACAAAATGGTAATTTAGACTATATTTATAATTTACAATATCTAGTTAAGCCATATTTCCGTAAATGTGTCACACTTTTTTGTACACCGCAAAAAATCAATATACAGTTTAAATTAAATCTTTGGAAAGCCCATAGAATTTTCACATTCCTCCATACATACATACAAATGAGGATATAAAACGCAATAAAAGCTATTTCCATCTCTTTCTCATGCAAACAACCCAGCCTTTGGTACAATGCCATTTACAACTTGTCCACTCAAGGTCACATGGTCATTTTGATAATACCCGTTTATTGAATGCAGACACACGTGCATAAAAATAAATATATACAAACAAAATGTAAAATAGGTCTTGTCGCATTTAACACCTTTCCAAAAACGCTTTCTTTATTTACTAATTCCCACTGGAATGAGTTTGGAAAACTGACAATGGAAAATTACTAATCTCAAGTCTTCCTCTTCTAGAACATTGCATACATACACTCGCACTTACTTACAAACATACATCCACACACCTACCAAAAAAGCACATCAACATCGGCACTTAACGAATACAAATTCCTTGGCGTATACACTCCTCCAGATTACCGGCGGCGATTACTTCTCCACTATACATTTTAACTAGTCAATTGCCGGTCCGGTCAATGTTAATCAAAACGCTTTCATTTGAAGCTTCCTAACCACCTTGTTCTATCCAACAACACGTGGTACCGCTACTTGATATCGGCCGTCTGTTAAAAATCTCAATGGAAAAGTCGCTCCATCGTTGCTTGACTACAATATACCAAACTCGATAAATACATATGTAAATACATAAGTGCTTATTAGAATTCCATATTGTAATCCAAAGTTAAAAAATGTCATCGTAAACTGGCCACCTAGCTGTTGACTTGGCGTCATCGACCACCATTGACTCACACTTTGAAAATCCGGCGAATGAAAACCCCACACAGGTACATGTATTCTTGCTTTCGCTTGTCAAAGTATGCGCAGCCATGTAGAGAAATTGCACCACGTCCCGACAGTAGACACCTTCCAATACAAATTTACTTGCAAATTTTGCAATTTCGATTAATTTCTCTAGGTTCTGTTTTTTCGCACATTCCGTAATATCAATATAACCTCAAATTTAAAAAAATGTTGCTCATCCACTGATACTCAGACAAAATACACTTTCAAATCACACATAGCCGCTAGTTAATGCACTTGAAAATCTACTTAAAAGTAGTGAAAAATTATGGATTTCATGCATTTAATGAAACTCTACAAATGGAAAACGAAAATACTTTACATACCTCCATAACGATGCGTCCTAGAGGCTGTCCATCAGCAGTCATATCAAAAAATACACGGGGAAGACCCATTTTGCCTTTACTGCTTTTACTCGCGAAACGAACACCAAGAAATCCTATTTGAGACTGAAATTGGAAATGAAGCTGTCCGACTTCGATTCCGGTTTGTAGAAAATTCGATTTTTTTGCCAAGATGGCGAGCGGTCGTTGCTGGCGGCAGCAGCCTCGTACCAGTGTTGCTGTTGCGCCAAAAATCGCCATTTTAATTCGATAACAACACGTGGGAATAGATACCGGCGATTATCGTCAAACACAGTCAAATGTCAAAGCCTTCCCAACAGCCGTTTCACAACCGGTATAGGTGCAAAATGAACAGACGTGTTTCAAGATTTGTATTTCCAGTGTACCTTTTGTTGGTGTTACCTAATCTTTTTTTTAATAGAGATGTAAGATTCGTTATCGATTCGAAACGAGTGTTATTTATAATCGCCCAGTGTTGCAATTTTTGTACGTATAATAGCGTCGCATCCACTGCAGCTCAAGCAAACCAATAAAATTTTCGGGACATTTTTGTGTATGCAATTGTTGTTGTCAGCTGTGAACCGCTAACTCAATTTACACAGACGAACGAGAGCACAAAGCGTGTTGCCCGAGCACGAGCAACTCGGTGCCCCTCTCCTTTCCTCGTCACGCTCTCTCCCACAAACGTCGAGTTGCGGCAACAAAAATCGCCGTGTGTAAATGGATTAAAATTTACTGTGGGGAAGAAAAAGAATCAGCACTTGAACATTAAATAAAACACACATTGAACATTGAATAAAACATTAAGGGCCGGTTGTTCAATGTCTGATTAGCACTAATCGGCGGTAGAAGCTACGGTTTCGGTGCATCGGAAATGTTTGACAGTAAATTGACGGCGTGCGTGAATATTACTTGCTGTCTCCACAGGCAAAGGTTTTTATCTTGATAATGTTATCAGGAAAAATTTTGCCCATGGAGACCGCATATTGTTCTTCGCAAACAATAATTATCAGAGCTTTTCTCTTGATAAATATTGCCAGGAATTTGGTACTTTGACAGCTTCATTTTCATTTACGCGATAGCTTCGTGGAGGCAACATTATTGATATTTCAATACAAAAGCTAAAATTGTGCTGTTTTCTATTAAAATATTTGTTATTATTTGCTTGGGTTTGAAAGAGCATATTTTTTTAATTTTTTAAGTAGCACCCGGCAAAAATAGCCATCTTACAAATGCTTTTAACAAGATAAAAAATACCCACTCACAAATATTGCCTCTGATAAATTTTTTTCCAGGCAAGAAAAATGGCAGTTGGTGGGCAACAACTTTTGCCTGTGGAGATGGGCCGTTAGGTAAAGGCCGGTGTGCAGTTCTTAGGAAAATCAAAATTTTCATACAAAATGACGTATTTCTTGAGAGCTGCATACCAGCCTTTATTTAGCCTGTAACAATATATGTATTCGCACTGAAATGGTATGCGATGAAATGCCCACAAACAAAAATTTTGTTTTGGTAATGTCTCGTATGCGAGAAAACTGACAGTTCGTGTGCGAATGTAATAAGCCTAATTAGTTATATTGAATTATTATTTTGTTTTTGAGTTCCATACATATAGGACTCTCAGTATGGTTCTTAGAAAAAGTTTAAGTGATTTTGTTATTTCTCCAGATGGAATCGTTGTAGCGTGACATCGTACCGAGAAAAGTGAAAAAGCCTAAAAGCGCAGTTAGTCTAGGACGTAGCGGAAACGTAGGTTGACGTACGTAGCAGCATATTAAATTTGCTGTTGATAGAGAGGGAGAGAAGCAACGGCAACGCCACCGTTTTCGTTAACATNACCGAGAAAAGTGAAAAAGCCTAAAAGCGCAGTTAGTCTAGGACGTAGCGTAAACGTAGGTTGACGTACGTAGCAGCATATTAAATTTGCTGTTGATAGAGAGGGAGAAGCAACGGCAACGCCACCGTTTTCGTTAACATGCGAATCCCATAAGGTAGATCGTGTCTGCGTCACCCTACGTCTATGCTACGTCATTGACTGTTTGAGCTTTAAAGCTTCCAAACAGTAACATTTTTTACAACTCTGAGTGTTGATAAATACTTGATTTTATTTTACTTTTCGCTAGCTGACGTTTACGCAGTCGTTTGGCAACACTATTTATACTAATACTGGATAGCGAAGGATGCATTTCTATTGTTAAAAAATTAGAATCTGCATTTGACAATCGCGTATATATTTTGGAAAATAATTACAACATTGAACTTTGCGTAACTAGGAACGTAAACAAGTGCAAAAAATAAAAACTGACTATTCATTTGAAAAAATAGAAGCAGGAGCCGTAGGAGATACAGTAAATTATAAAAAATAAGGTAAAGTCGGAAGGATTGGTGTTGACCTTCAAATCTGTAGGTTTGCTGTTATGAAAAACCAATTGCTTGCAGTTCTACATTGTATTTTTAGATAAAGAACAAAATATTGAACGAAAAACTTTGATTTCAATACAGAATGCCCATGGGAGCAGAACCAGTTTATCAACCAACAACCGTTTCGGTATCCTATGAACCTCGACCAGGCAGGAACAACAGCAGGCGCGCATTAGCATGCCAGATGTTAAGCAGTCATCGATTTCAGGTAGGTAATGGTGCATCCAATTAATCAAATCGAATTAAAGTTCATTAGGCCGGAGTTTACTAAATAATCTATAAGCAAATTAAAATACTTTCAAACATATTTTGGTCGAGAAGAAAAACCCCTAAATGTATGCTGTAAATAAGTTAATTTGAAATGATTTTCACTTACAACGAATTTAAAATATCTATACGAGTTTTAAAATGCCGAAAATGAATTTAATTTAAAAGTAGGCAGTTTACAACTTACGTTTCTCTCTCACGCTGCATTTGTTTTAAATTATTTTGCAATAACTTAACGTACATACCTATGTAAGTGAATACATACTAGGTATCTCACGGCGCATATTTGTTTTATATGTGTAATCGTTTGAAAAATAATGTTTACTTTATATATATTAAATGAAGCGAAGGTTGCTAATATTTTTGTTTTAATAAATTTCAAATTCGTAGCTAATGCTGCTATTTTTTGGACTTTTATGTTTGGCATCTGGCATATCGATAGTAGCTGGTACCATCGTCAGCCATATTTATGGTAATAATGACACAAATGATTTTCAATCTGACGACGATGCGGTTATCCATTGTGCTAAACTACCACTTAGCATGATTGTGTCAGGTGCTTTTTTCATTTTAATCGGACTGTTTTGCCTGGGTAAGTTTAACTTGTTTTTATGTATGCATTTTCATTACATAGTCTATTTGCATAATTTCAGGCGTTTATATAACAGTGGCTGATTGGCGACGTAATTGTGTTGTTTGTCAATGTCCTTTGTTTGATAAGAAGAAATCGCTAGCTAGACAATTGCATTCCCAAAATGGTGGCGGTTGTAGTGAAGGCATAATGGCGTTAAATCCTTCAACAGATCCGTTGGTATCACATACGCAATATGCTCCAGTTTCAGAATTGCCACACCGTGGTGATGAAGAAGAACGTAGAAATTTGATGCCAGACAACAAAGATTGGTGAGTGCTTTTTGTTTTTGAATGATACAAAATGCGTTTTGAGATATGTACATAAATGTTTTTAAAACAAATACGAATTTTGTTGCAGTCTCAGCAGCGCTGAAGAATCGGATCGTATGTTAGAACCCGATCCGCGTATTGTCTTGCGTCCGATGGGTCGCCTCGATGATGCTTAAAATCATTTATTGGCATAGATTATGTAAATCGATTCCGCAGCTGGTGGCTACTTGCTAAAAGTATGAATGGGATTTGAATATAGGACATATTTTTTATAAGTTGTCACAAAAATTTAATGTATGTGGGTGGAGAGCAAGACATATGGTAGCGGCACTGACCCCCAATCGATACGAAGGTATAATTCAGATGGATTCAGCAGTATACCATTTCAACTTTCATTTCGGACAATTAACATGTCTTTGATCGAATATTATTTAATATTTTTTCTTAAGTTATGAATAAGCAGGACATGTACTTATAACCTTATTCATAGAATGAAAAATGTATGTAGTTCTGAAAAGCTTTAAAAAATTGCATGTTCATACAAATATTCCAACTATAATGCACTTAAAATCTATTTTACTTTTTATGAATTCGGTTGCTAGATTTTCAACATATCGTCGTTTAAAATACAAAGCCGCGTATCGTCGTTCTACAAAACCGCGTAACTGACATTTTTTACCAAAAATTGGATTTGCTCACACAAGCTCTTGGCTAAAGCCTTATCCATTCGTCCTGAAATATACTAGGCAGAATTGTGATTGCTTTATAAAAAAGAGAACCATTTTGAAACTGAGTATTTTTACTCTAGAAAATAATTTATGCAACCTCACATGCGCGATTTTAATTTATCTTGGTACGCGGTTTTGCATTTTGTTGATACGGGTTTTGTACATTAAACGAGATGTGTTTAAATATTCTATTAAATTTTAAACTAAATAACATAATCTCGTAGCTGTAAGCAATTACATTATCGCTTAGATAAGGCGCGGCAATTTGTTGGGCACGCACACATTTACAAAAAACAAAAGAAAAAACTAAACTAGCGAGTAAAAATTACTGTAAGAAACTATAGATTAAAGATCTAAAAACACTCAATGCAATTGTTAGTGTCGAATTGATATTATTTGAGTAGCGTACGTACACTTTTACATAAATAAAAACAAGCTTAACATTCGAAATATTTCAATACACTTAAATACTCTGCACATATTTGTTGTGGTTTATTTAGTAGAATACTTTGCTTTCTCAAAAAATAAAATACTTTTCAAATTAAATATCCTCGTACTTTTCTTTAAGTTAGAATCTTACTATGTATATGATCGATCAAGGTCCACATTGTTCTTATAGGAATTCGCGTTGAGCATCAGCCAGCATTTTAATTTTTTATTACGGAAAATGGATATCGCTCTCCTCAGGCCCCTTTAGCCATTGCGTATGGTTCGCGCTATGCCCGATGGCAGGGCGGCCCTGAAGAAGGCATATTTTTTTGTCTGCAGCGGCGTGACATACCTTGTTGTTGTTGTTGTTGTAGCGGCTACAACAACCCCGCCCAGATCGGTTGGTATCTCAGTCGTTGTCGTCAAGTTCCACTAACGGCAACCCTAGGAAGCGTGCAGCTTCTGCGGGGTTTGCCCATAAGGACAAGGCCGTTAGGGATGTCGGGTTTGCCGGGCATGCGAAGAGATGTTTCGAGTCATGTGGGGTCTCTCCGCATGCCGGACATTCGTTCGGCACATCCGGCGGACTATGGTTAGCCGTGGAGGCTGCTCTGTTTGAGCAACAGGGGGCCACGTACGACGTGGTCCACTGTCTGTGTGTCCGTAGTCCCGAGCAGACCCTGAGGTGACTCCACCCCTCACAGGCATTACACCTGACTGAGGTGGAGTTGTGGTGTAATCGTCTTCGGCATACACAGCAGGTGTATGTTTCTGGCCCAGGGTTTGACTCGATGCCAGCCCTGAGTAGGAGAATGCGTAGTGAATGTA